GCATTCCCTCCTACTCTCAACCAGAGAGAAGCACAAATCCACTTGTGAATGCAGCTTTACACTTCTCACAGTGAAACATTATATAAGAAAATACTTTGAGGTCTGGAAAGCTCTCATTCTGAAGATCACTGACCACTTACAGCCTAACAAGAACTGGTCAGCTGTCTACAGGGAAATAAGGTAGTGGCAGAGTGATGATTTTCCCCGGGTTTCAGCTGTTGCTACAGCTGGCACACAGACGCCTGCATAGGAAGACAAAGCACAAGATCTATAAAGCAGCTGGAAATAAAGAACAGCTCATCTGACTGCCCCTGCTCAGGGCCTGACAGGAGGAGAGGAGGAAACAGAAGTCAGAGATACCCGAATATGGAAATTATTTGGGAGAGCAAAGGAAAAGGAGAAAGCAACAAGGTGATACAAGAATGAGCCCGATAGCTTCTCCAGGAGAGAAAGAAATCACACAGCCTAAAAGGACAAAGCCATGTATAGGAGGGGTGCATGCAGCTCATTTCACTGGGCAAGGATGTTCCCTGGGAGATGGGGAAAAAGTCACACCACTGTCTCTTTTTTAAGTTAAGCCATAATTACAAGAAGGTCCTTTCAAGGGCAGCACCAGCTCAAGCCATTTCCAGTCCTTGGTGCTTGAGTAGGCCAGGAGCCAGAACTGGTTGTGTGTTGGTTATGCAAGACACTTCCCAGTAACCATGCCTTTGTAGTCAATATCTTTGTAGTTTTACATTTTTCTCCAAAGCAATGCCACCTTAAGGGCATTACCTAACTGTTAATTGAAAAGGAAAATTCCATTAGATACTCTGTTCATTCTATAGGAGATACAAGGATCCATTATCATATAGAAAAAAGCCTGTCCAAAGAGACACCCGTGCAATGGATGATGCCTTTGAAGTGAGTGCCTACAAAAGAAAATAAATACTGTTTCTGTTAAGACTATCTCATTAATTGTTATTCATCTGGTTTCTTTAAAACATATTTAGTTTTTAGTTCTTGCTTTTGGTTTATGGAACGTGCACTCAATTTGATAACTAACAGGTGCTGTGGCCTACAGCTCTGGAGATTGAAACTAAAAAAAAAAATCATATGCAGGTGAACCACAAAAGCTAGATAATGCAGACACTATAGAAATTGAATCACAAATCAGTTTTATATTGTGTTTCTTTGACAGCCCACTCTGACATGAAGCTTGCCACCAGACAGCTCTCCACCATGGGCACTACAGGAACTTCTTCTGGGAGTGTTCCTTTACATTGTGCACACCCAAGTTCCAGCTTCCCACTCCATTACACAGTTAGTTTGTCATGGGCTGCTTTAGAGCTGCTTAATATTCAGTGCACTGCAATCTCCTGAAGGTCCTTTATTGCACAAAGCACCTCACGGGCACATATCTCACATTTCCATCAGCACAGGCAATGCTCTGCACATGCTGCAAGCTGACGTAGAAGGGAGCAGAGGTGAGCCAGGTCTTCCATCTGCCTCATCTGGGATTAATAAATTTGGTTATATATATTCTTTAAATTACTGAGATGCACTATGATTACATATCAGCCAGTCAGAAAAGTTGTTAGAATCAAACATTGAATTTCAATTACAAACTACTAACTAATCAAAGTGAACAAAATGCTACCTTACACACTGTATGTCTGCTTTTTGACTGTCTGCAACCTTTGCAAGCCTCACTCCTGTGCAAAAGGGAAAACACTGCTCCTCCTTCACTCTGAAAGATTGACAATGCATTTGCAGCTCAGTGAAGAACCAGACACACAAGACCATCATAATCTGTCTTCCTGGACACCAGAACTAAAGAGAAGCCTTCAAGTAATTGCAAATATTAACCAGCTTCATTGTAAAACACCAGAGGAAATGCATCAGAGCTCCTATACATAAAACTAAATTAATGTTTCATAAGGCTGCATAATTAACTATGCTAAGTCAAAAAATTGTGTAGTTAAGGAAGCACATCCAGCCATCCCTGACCCTCTGATTTCGCATGTGATTGCAATTTGATAGGCATGCACTGCTTCACAGGCTGTGCTGTGCAAAGAGACGTAATCTCAGATCTGGGGGGCATATCTCCTCCAGGAACAGCGAGTCCCTGGACTCCCATTGGGAAAGCCTTCAAAGCAATCCTGCGTGCAGCACCAGGGGCACGTCGCTGGGCAGTGCGCGCTGCTGCGTGGGGAGGAACAGCAGTGTGGGGGACTCCCTGAGGAGAGCAAGCAGTGCTGTGTGCCTCAGAGTCTGGGCTTCACCCTGTTCCCACTCACCCACACCTGATCCCTGCTCACTCTCTGGGCTCCTTGGAAATGATTTTGAAGTCACCTGAGGCTGCAGGCCCTAGAATTTGACTTTCAGTTCCCCGGACCACAAAACACCCAGAAACTTTGCGTAAACTGTAAGTGCTTTGAGAGGTCTCTTGTTCCTGTTCCACGTGACCCTGCAGCTTCAGAGCAATATCTTTCTCTCATTTTGTGCTGCAGTGCTCCTCAGTTGCTCACAGTAAATCCTCTCTGCTGCACATTTCAGCAGCTTTGAAGGAAGAAACAACACTCCGGAGTGCATGCTGAGAACATTGTTTTCTGAGGCTCACAGCTCAGTCAAATCAAGCCAAAACTAAGGCACTTCATAGTTATGGCTATTTCAATGCCAAATTTTAGCCCACAGGCCTCAGCTACTCACACTGTAGAGCTGTTCAAACGAAAGCAGCAAAACGTCTTTATGAAGGGGAAAAATAGTTTTCCACTCTCCTCATATTCACAAATGGATGAAATGTTTTCACTCAAACTTTCCAAAAAGTTCACTTTTGAGCAGAGGCCAAGGGCTTTATTTGAACAATTTTAAAACTCTCTGCAAAGAATAAATACTGAATCATATAAAAATGCACTGCTCAATTACAAATTTGACTGTGGGTAACTCTCCTGAAATCAATTCCATTGTCATGGGACCTGAATCAATCTCAGTGCTTACGCAGAACTAATAAAAATTATCCCTGCCTTCTCCAACAAGAAGTTATGGAAGACTGAGAACAGAAGGCTAATATATCCAGCAATCATTTCATCTGTACAAGAACACAACAGTACCATAACAGAACATACCAAAATGCCTAAGCCAAAATCAGCTTGTCACATACAAAATACATCAAATGGCTCCCACATTGTTACTCAAAAGATTGTCTTCACTTGTTTCAGATCTCTTTTTCTGCACTTAAGTCAGGTTTAATAATTAAATTGGCTATTGCATAAACATGTATTGGGTTGATTTAGCACAATGCTGATTTTCCCTCATTGCTCTCTTAGGCTGATTCTCTCGATAGGCTGATTCTCCATAAGAAGCTTCATACTTTCAATACATTTACAAATTTATCATTTATATTATTGGCTAGTTAGTACTCAGCCCTCCCCCTCATTCCCAAATTACTTGCTATGGTTCCTGTTCTTTTTGAGTAAGCTTTAGCTTCCAGAAAAATAAATTTAACTATTTGATTAAATGTGTTCTCAAAACTTCCCTTCTGCCCTGTTTCATTTTGCTTTGATTACAGATATACTGCACATATGCCTTTTATGGCCCTGTTACAGTATGTTTAAACTGGATAAATCTCTGTTGGCTATAAGGATTTCCATCTTCTAATTCTGGCACAGAGTCTTTTTCATTTTTCCTCTTTAAAGATAAATATTTCCTGCTCTAGAAGCCTGTATCACTCTGGTATCCTTTAGTCCAAGCACTGCCCAGAAGATTCTGGGCTAATTAATTGGAGTGTCTGCTATTTGGGATACTGGGAGTACTTCCCCATCTGTCTGGAGCCCCCTGTCCCTCTGAGCAGACCTTTGCCAGTGAGTTCTGTATTTAAATCTAACTAGTTCAAAGCCCAAGGATTTAGTCCCTCCCACCCATTGGGTTATAATCAGATGGCAGCATGTCTTAGGTTTGACTCACTCCCTTCATGCACACACTTAGTTTCCACAACAGGTAAATGAAGAGTTTCAAATTCAAGGCTGTTCCTACAAAATATCCTAGTTCTTGTATTTTCTTGACCTCTAAGATTAAAATAACAAGTATAAATTAATTGTAAATCCTTATAATAGTTTATGTTATTTGCTTTTTTTAGTCTAAATGATCCATATCAAATTTATGTCCCCCCTTTATTGTGGGACAGATTCCAGGATGCTCAGAAGTTCCTAGACCCCGATTTAAGGAGCCTGTTGAATGCCTGTCATATCAGAGAGATCTTGTAGATGCTGGAGATGGTTGCACACCATGGCCAATTTTCTCAGACATATCTAAAACAAAGTCTTGCAAGATTTTTACTGACTCAAAATTTTTCCCAGCACTCAGGCAACAATAAGCCAGAGTTGTCATCATGTTTTCTCCTCTTCACTGGGCTAAAAGGGAAACAACTGAAGGGAAGCATGACTGCATCTCATCTACAGGTCTCTTGATTTTTTTAATGCTACATTCATTCTATCTGACTTCACCAAATCCTTCAAAGATTGTATAGCCCTTCTACAGAGCCCAGGAGGCCCTATTAAATCAGACTCCTGTTAAATCAGAAAACTTCTCCACAGCTTTCTTTTGTGCAGGGAAGAGCCACAAACAAGAGAATCGTAAACAAATATGCAACAGATAAATCTAGAAATAGATATAATGGTCCCTCTGCAACCACATAATGTTTTTTCATCATACATGCACCTCAAACAATTACAATTTCAGGGCTTTACTAACTACTGCAGCCTTGAACCCTGGAATCTCTAAATTAGAAATTGTATCTTTTGAGTGCAGCACAATAAAATCCAGATTTGGGGAGACTGGGGGTTGGGGGTTTTGAGTTACTTTTTTCTTTGATTTGTTTTACCTCCTCTATCTCTAAAATATCCTACAGTCACATAAAACATTTTGTACAACAGTGACTTGCCTTCTTCAGCTTCCCTGAATCTTCCTCAGGAGAGTTGTTCTTTCATCATCCAAAAACTCTCCACTCTCCAGCAAGTTCCACCCTTGGAGAAGAAATTCTGCAACTGTTTGAAAACAAGACAAAGGCAGTTTTGAACTGCAGACAGCAACACATTTATTTCTAATGTCCATTATGTTCTCTCTCTTGTGAAACACAGCAGTTGAGTAAAGTCACAACACGGATAAGGAAGAGCCTCAGTCATGTCCATCAGATGCTGTGCCACACACAGTGGCACTCTGGTTTCATAAATGAGTGCTAAACACGTTTCTGGAAGTGGCCTATTTTGCTTGGGGAGGCAAAAATGCCTTTATCAGCATAAGTCAACTCCCATTTTTTCCATTTCTGCTGCTGTGACTCGTCTTCTACCCACTGCAGACTCTGAGCTTTCCAAAGCTCACAATCCTACTCACCAAATCAGTAAAAATGCAGCATTAAGACTTTATTTTTCATTCACTTATTTAATACTCATTTTTAAGACCCCTCAAAACTCAGTCTCACTTTTTGACTCTCCTTATTTTCATTTTAGAAGGTTTTCATCTCTAGTGGTTCTTCTCACAGATCAATGCCTGCCAGAAGCTCTCCAAGGATAAAGGCTTTGTCTTTTATATGCTAACACTATACCCTTGATAACTGTCGTGGTTTCACAGCATTCAAAGGAGGGATCACATTTTCATGGGGGCACTGGCATTGTGCCAGTGTCAAACCATGACAATAACCCATTTCAAAACGATACACCCAGCTTTGAGGTGCACCTTTATCCCAGTGCCAGAAATGCAACTATGGGACAGAAGCAATATTTCCTTTACTAACAGATGTTTTAAAAATGCGCAGTCCTTTTTGAGGCACATACTAGTGCTTTATAAATACTTGTTTTTGTTGGTATTTACCTTCACACTTTGCCCTACATCTTTCCCCCTGTTTGTTCTCCCTCTGTTCTGCCTTTTGATTTCCATGCTGTGCTCTGAGACAGACTCCTGCCCACTTGCAGATGTTCCAGGACAGGGCACAAACCCTCGCTATGACCTTTGGGCACTGTTACAGTGCAAGGACAGATTTTATGATGGATCTCTGAAGTCCAACATCCAGCACTCCTGCCACTGGTGCCACTGGGATGTAGAGTAATAGAGCACAACTCACCTTGAACAAATGATCAACACCTACTAAAAATGCTGGGAATTTTTGGGAGCAGCACACTCCAGCTAAAAAAGAAATCCCTCTTGCTACTTGGCTGTTGCTGTCATTCCTTGAAGTGCTGCTGGTGACTTCAGCAGATTCACTTGCAAGGGAAAGGTGACAGGATTAGACCCACAGGCTGTAAACACTTCACTCCCCTCTGGGATCACCTGGCTTTATTATTATTGGCACATCGTGCTCAGGCAGCAAAGACATTCATTTAAGGATACTAGTTTCTATTTCCAACTCTATTACATCTATTTTTGTTTGAACTTATTTAAAGACAACATTATCAAGCCAGGAACAAAAGGCAGGAAGGAGATGGAAGCCCACAATGCTCTACACAATGACAGGAAACAACCTGTGTTTTGACAGTTCCCCCAATTCTCTTCCAGATGATCTTTACTAAAGAATTAGACAAAGTCCAAAAAGCAAAATAAAACCCAAAACCCTGTGAAGAGGAAATCCTCTTGTATAGGTGCTAACAGAGTGGAAAATTTTAGAGAAAATTCAGGTCTAGCATCTAGCCTACTGACAATTTACTGAGCAAACTCAAACCCTATCCACTGCACTGGGATGACATATTTCTATTTCTAGGGTTTTACAGAAAGACTTCCTCAAAAAAACCAAGACCTTCAAAACTGGCCAAAGTTGAACGCTGTTATGCAAAATTGTAACAAAAGTTGGCGCAGAAGCCACTGTTTTGTTCTGTGGAGATCAGCTGGAAATACAGGAATAAACAGGATGGAAGAGCTTCTTTTCAGGGGCATATTATAAACAGCAAATTAATTGTGCAATATGTTACTATGCTCAGGGAGATGAGCTGGACTGGAAATCAAAACCTGGAGTAGATAATTATAAAATGTGCATTAAAAACCATTAAACCACACAACAAAAAGTCAAAGGAATATTAAATTCTTTCACTTTGGGTTATAAGATGAACACTGAGAGATCCATGGAGGAACAATTCTGGTAAAGTTACTCCATATTTGTCCACAGCTGAATTTTCAGGACATATATATGCAGTAGATAGGCAATTTTTTCAATCCTGATGTACCCACACCTGCCTTCTGCATTGCAGAGATTTTGCAACATCCTCAAAAAAAAAGGGTTTAAACATACAATCTTTCATTCACAAACCAGTTCTGACCTGAAGCCACCTTGCTAGAGAGGCCTATTCAAACTGCAAGGCAAGTCTTTGGCAATAGTGTCAGCAAGAACACAAGAAAGAGTCAAATATTGCAAAGTAATACAGACGTACAAATAAAGTGGTCACCAGCGCACTGAAGAATGGACTAAAATATCCAGTGCATTCCCCATCCAGCATTAGGCAGCATTAGGTCCCAGTATGTTTCAGTGATTACAGATTTATCCTGGATTAAATCTGCAACAAGAAGTGAAGTGGCTCCACATCTTCCTCTTCCCCCAAATATATGTCAATTATTCTTTACAGATTGTTTTCTAATCCTTTCCTTTGCAAAGCAAAAAGAAAGCAAAGAAGCCACAACTTTATCTTTTTTCTTAAGGAAAAAAAAGATAATTTAAGCTCCAGCCACACAAGCAGCCAGATGTGCATTCATCACCACAACGTGGCATGATGTGTCACTTGAGAATTTGGCACTCACTTAAAAAAATGAATTCTGCTTATTTTTGTTCCACTGGCTAGTCCAAAACCAAGTGCAAAGTTGCATAATCCCTCCAATTCTGTTGGAGAAATAACAGTCAGAACCAAGATCCACGGAAGAGGGAAGAAAAAAAAAGAAAAAAACCTCCCAGCCCTCTTTTCTGGATAAGATGTTATAAATTAAGAAGCAAGAGTTCTGTAGAGAAAGCACTGCTTTTACTCTCCCAGGCAGGCGTCTTGCTCTTCCAAGTGGACTCCAGACTTCATGCATTTCTTTCCCTCTCTCCCTTCCTCCCCCAACCCTTTATGACAGTATTTGGCAGGAACTCCTAATTAAAAATAAAAAACAAACACCAGACTGCCTTTGTGCTACCCCAGTGAACCTCTCTGGGGAAATGGTGTTCTTTGCTCAGCAATTCCTGTTCAGCACAGAATGCTAGCACGAGGAAAGCAGCTGGAGTGACTTCCTATTCTCCATTCAGGCCTGGCAGCCTCAGAACAAAGCCTTACAAAAAGAGAGGCTGAAACCAGCGGAGAATCACTGACAAAGAAGTGCACAAGGACTCTGGCAAGATGTTATTTCCAGTGCTCTCACAACACAGGCCTCAGTAACAACCTGAGCCACCAGAGGCCTGGAAAAGCCAGTGGATGGTTGTGGATAATTCTGTGGCTGCAATCCCAACAGCTGCCATGCAGACACGCAAGGATATTGTCCAGTTTAATCTGAACACCAAGAGATTTCCTGCAAATCCTTTCCACAAGCAATTCTAACAATGCAGCTATCACCACATCACCCAAGCCTTCAAGATTGCTTTGATGGACATTACTTTTCTTTCCTGAGAAAACATAATGTCTATTTACAAGTGCATGGAAAGGCAAGGTTTAATACAAGGATTACAGCCATTAAATCCTTCTATTCTTAAGTAGACCACCCCCTGAAATTTAATGTGAAAATCCATATATTACTTGCTAATTTCCTTATGATTAAATACCAAAATCCAAAGCATCTGAGATCATAGCTGAGTTCTGGAAGAGACCCAAGAGTTAAATCTCCAGGGAACTCAGGCAAGGCTGATAATTGGGTTCAGACAGGGATATATATTTGGGTTTTTATGACAGTGATACTGGATAACACTCCAGCCTTGCATTTATCCCTCTTTTTGAGCTCCACTAATTTTTTCCTTTTAAGAAAAGGTGACCTTTTTACTTGCCTCTCATCACTAATCAGATCTAGATAACCCTAAATAACCTTTGCAACAGCCTGGATACTGAGGGTTTAATGAGTGGGAAGAAGGGAAAAGTGTTGCCCCTCCAAGGCAATATAACTCAAATTTGAAGGTCTGGCCTTTTCCTGAGGCTGTGTCACCACAACACTCTCACAATTGCATCTCCATAACAGGATGGGTCCCCTTCCTCCTCTCCCACCTCCTTTTCTTTAATCACCATGGATTTCCTTCCCCGTAACCTTGTTGCCAGCTCTCAGCCTACTCAGTGGACAAATTACAGATTCCTCTGGTTCAGGCAGCAGTTGAGGGACGAGGAAAACAGTTCCTCCCATAGTATTTAGACAGGAAGGATGGAAAAAACAATCCAAAGGAATATTCAACTGATTAAATGTTGATTAACATAAAAATACATTAAAGGAATGCCCTGCATGTAACATAGAGGGCATTAATGAACTTGCTCCTACATGTTTAATCAAAAGTCTGGAGAAAATATTTGTATCACATCCATGTTATGACTAGTTCCAGGAGCAGCCCTCTCCCAGAACAATCGTATGGCAGCAAATCCTCTGCCTGTGCTAACCTGCCCTCTCTAATCTTTGGTCTCTGTGCACACACAAGAACAGAATACACCACCCAGATCAAACACAGATATTAAACAGATATGCTAAAAAAAGAGAATTCACAGAAAAACTTAATTAATCTCCAGGGCAGGGAGACACCAAGGACTATGGAATCCCTTCTCAGGACATTATTGTGCTTATTGTGCTGCTGGAAAAGTATCTTATCTAGGTCACTGTTTTGCCTTTTCCTGCTCATTTATTTGAGGAATTGTTTTACAGTCTCCTTTGAAGTAGGTATTCAGGCCAGCAACAGTGCGAAGTGGGGAAAAGGGTATCTTCAAAAATGGTTAATGAAGACCAAAAGGGAATTTTTGTAGTTTGTCATGTTTTCCCTGCAAATAAAGGTTCCATTACAGCTGAGAGGGGACCTACACAATGATAGCTCAGAAAGGCCATTGTGGGTCTCAAATAATGGATTATGAACATACTTTGGTTTTTCTTTATTTTTTCTTAAGCCAGGGCAGTAAACCCTGAACCTCAGTACTCCCTGCCCATGGCAGGCAGTTGGAACTACATGACCTTTAAGGTCCCTTCCAACACAAACCATGCTGTGACTCTCTGACAGTCTATTTACCTCCTGCAATTACTTTGCTGCCCTTAAGCCAATTTCCAGCAGAAAAATGCCAGCAGTCCCAAGCTACAGCCACAGTTCCAGCTGGACTGCAGCTTCCCAAGCTGAGGCAACTTTGGGGAACATGGGACATATCCTAAATTCCTCCTCTATCAAGGAGGTGGGTGGTCCTGCAGGTAGGGCTGATACAGGAATAAATTTTCCCACTAGCTGTTTTCTTGATAATAAGGGGTTAGTGGTGGGTGTAATATATGTATATATATGTGTGTGCATGTGTTTGTGTGTTTGTGTGTGTGTGTGTGCGTGTGTGTGTGTGTGTGTGTGTGTATTTTTTCTTCCAGGGTTGTTGTTTTCTCTTAAGAGGAACCTCACAAAGCTGTGTCATTTCCTAATTAATAAAAGGATAATTATTATCTACACAGGCCAAGTGTAACTTTAAAAAATAATTTTATACTTTAGAGCAATGTTTTCACTTTGGGATTCAATATCTTTGTTAATATACAAAAGGTCATGTAGAATGGGGCAAGTGAAGCACAGAACATTGTTGCCCAGCAAACAGAGGTTCTTTCATGGAATCATGAAATGTGTTGGAAGGGACATTAAAGGTCATCTCATTCCACCCTGCAGGGACATCATCCCCTATCCCAGGTTGCTCCAAGCCCCATCCAACCTGGCCTTGGACATTTCCAGGCATGGAAGGGATGCAGGAATGGGATATAATCACTTAGAGTCACTTGGAAAGGGGAACGTGTGCAACAGAGAAATACCTGCAAACCATTGGCCTGGTTTTGGTACATAAGCAGCAAGGCAAAATGAAAACCCAAAAAATCCAAATGTAATAAACTGTCTGAAGAAAAACATTCATTAAATCAAACATACAGCAAGTACTACATATATATAGGAAAATAAATATATCTTGCCTTCACCTGTGCAGTCTGACTCCATTCAGAGCAAAGCTGGCAGAAGCAGCTTAAACCAAAGTTCCATAGTGATGTAAATAAAGATCATACCTGCAGCAGCCATAGAACAGGAGCTGCCAGACCCTCAGCTCCTGGGCAAGACTTGCCCACCACAGGGGCTGCATAACTCAGGCAGGTCTGGGAGTATCCAAATGTCTGAAAATGGGCACATAGAGCTGACCTACACATATCACAGGAGCTGGAGTGAATTCCCCTCCTCCATACTGGATATATCAATGTATTCAACCATGACATAAAATAAAAAAGTTGGCTTTTCTTCCTCTTAAAAAGGGAAATAGCAATACCCTGAAATCACATGGCTTCCAGGCAGCTTCCCAAGCACATTTTATGTTCATTGACTAAAGTAATACCCAACAATGGCAATTGAAAGCAGATTTTCCTACAGTATAAAAAGTCTTATTCTATTAGAAAATAGCAGGTCTTATTATTTAGCCAACACCCATCCTTGCATAGTGAAAGAAAATGAGGTATCCAGATAGAGAAAGAGGAATTGTTTGCAATGCCCAGGCTCACCACATCCCCAGTAACTCTGGGTGCTCCCAAAGTACACCAAACTCTGCCTTCTCTTTTTTCTTGACATACAGCCAGCATTTTTCAGTTTGATAGGAATCACCAGGCAGCTGCTCTGGAAGGAGGAGATGGTAGGTGTAATTACTGCCCTGGTTATCAGGATTTGCCTGGTTTACTCTGTGAACGGAGTCACAACTCCAGTGGGTTTTCTGCCAGCACAGCTCTCCTCATTCCTAGAGAAGAGCATGAAAGGAGACAGGTGGAAACGAGATCAGAATTGGACTGAACATTGGTGCAATATTCTACATGTACAAGGCTCATAGTTGAACCAAAATTAAAATGACCAGTACTGTCTGTCTCATTGCACTTAGGCCAGTAATTGGTAAAACTTTCCCTAGTCCTGTGCTTCTGGAAACCATCCAAACTCCACTGATCAGCATGGAGGCAAATCTGTGTGCACATTAATCATTTGACCCCAAATCTTAAATTATTTTCTGAACTGATATTTTATAGGAATGAAATATGTCTCTTTGAGTCCCAAGAATCATCTTCATTTTAAAGGGAAAGAAGATGAAGCAGAATATTATATATATATACACATACACACACAAACTATATATATATGTGTGTGTGTGTGTGTGTGTGTGTGAAATATATATGTTATGTGCAATATAGGAAAGGTCTCTTCTCCTTCCATCACTAAACTTTCATTTTCTTCCCCTATATTTTTGATCTGTAAACACAGGCTCTTGACAAGTTTCCTGGCTCTTTCTTAGGGCAAGAGGAAATCTGTCCAATTGTTTTACAAACAAAGCATCCGGATAACATTTTATAATTAATATGTAAGAATTTCTCCAACTATAATCCCTATAATCTCTGGTGTGACCACACTCAATAGAATGGTATTTTGTTTATTTAATAATCAAAATCCTGGGTTAGTTCTGTAATTTTTCCTTATGATTTTTGCTATCCTAAAATTTAACCTGTTTATGGCATGTAAATGTCCTTATTTGTCATTTCCCTTACAGACTGCTTGCTGCTCTGTGGGTTTCAATTCTACTCTTAATAGACAGAAAAGGGAAAAACACTTCTTTTTAGGCATATAGAAAGGGAAACAATCGAGATAATGAAGCCCTGGAAACATCTCTGGAAGTGAGGTGATAATTCCAATCACTTGGAGGCTAAACAAGCCACATGAGGCAAATTTCCTGGAATGGTTTTGTGAAGGTCTGACTTTCACAGGAGCTCAAGCAGGAAACATTCCCAGCTCAGGACCTAAAATCTGGCTAATCTTTATGGCCCCTTGGCAGAGTGCAGAGCTCCAGGGCCCCACTCCAGAGCCAGGAGCAGCGCTCCTGTGGCACGAGATATCCCATATCCTCCTGTGTTCAATGAGCTGGAGAGCAGGCAGTGTGCTTCAAATTGTCTGGATATGCTTATGAGCAGCTGTGGACAGATCTTGCTTCTTCCCTCATATCCTTTGTTTCTTATTTTTTAAACCTTAGGGCTGTGCAGGAACGTCAAGTCTCCAGCTCATTAGGGGGCCATGTGACTGCTCTGGACTTTGAACTCAGATAAACTCCCTACTGAATGAAAATGTGTAAAATGCTTCCAGCCGAGATTATTTTGCACCAGGCTGTACTAAGAAATGCAGCAGAATTTCAACACTCACATTTCAGAGGCACAGAAGAGAGGAACCATCCTTGTCCTGAGTGCAGCGTTTCAGGGACAGCTCCAGAGCGTGCATCCCTTTCCCCCCATACAGCAGCACTTATACCAGCCTATGGAAGCAGATCATGGTTTAGTTTGGGGAATAAAACATTCTGATTCCATATAATCACACATCAGCTTCTGTCTAATCAATGCATACAATTTTGCTTTCAAAAGACATCTTCAGAAATCCCAAACCCACACATTTAAATCAGTAAAATCACATCCAAACTGGCCACATTGGGATGGATCAGAATTTCTGCATGCTTTTTAGCCTGGAGAGATACCAGAATTTACCTAACATTTGAATAAAGAAAAAGAAAATCCCAGCCCTGATCATTAGGGTGTTTTTCCCTAGGTGCAGAACATATGTCTTGGATTCTGGCTCACTTCCAGACAGAGTCATTAGGGACTGTTCTCCCTGTGGTTTTCACTGGATAAAGCATTCCTCTCCAGTTCCTCCTGTGAACATTTGTACCATGTCATGGGGCACTAATCAGTCATTCCTGCCCTCTGCCCCAGACAGGCATTTTAGCAAAAAGTTAAATAATTTCTAAACGTTATAATTATATCCCAGTCCCCTCCAAATATAGTTGGGAGGGGTAGAGATAGAACTATAATTTTAAGTATAATTGGATAGATAGAGAGAGATAAATATGGATCTGTTAACACTCATTTTGAGCTCCTAGGGATCCAACAGACACCATCTCCTGTATCAGAATGGTGGTTCATGGAGAGGAACAGCATTGGCAAAGGAGCCAAAGGCTGATGCTAATGCTGCATGTCCAGAAATGCACTTTGGTTGTGGGAACACTCTTCCAATTAACCCATCCAAAGAGGTAGTTTGGGATTTGACTCCCATCCTGTAAGGATGTGATACTGTTGATTGAGGAGATTGAAAATTTGACGGGTTTTGACCAGGACGAAGCACCAACCAAAGATAAAGAGGCAGGTTTCGGGGGGAGATGTAAAATGTCCGGTGCCTCTGGTTGAAAAGCTCTAGAAACACTTAAACAGAGCTGGAGCAGCAATCGGCTCCATCCGAAAAACAACACATATCCCTGAGGTGCGACATTGCCATCATGCGGCCATCCCAACTCTGCAGGAACACCAGCAGGGACAGCAGGAATGGGAACCTTATCCCACACTCGCAGCTTTCTCAGTTGTCTTTAGCACTGGCAGCCTGCAGGAGAAGTGGCGGGGGTGACACCCTCTCCTGACACCCCTCTGCAAAGGAAAACACTCCTTTCTTCGCACCTGCCCTCCTTTATGCCAGGGAGCAGCGGCATTTTCTATTTCCCGGGGCACGGCACTGCCAGGGTGACATTGCACTGCACACAACAGAGCACGGCTGACCATCCAAAATGTGCAGAAACACCAGAAACGACAAATGGACCACTCCTCATGTCAGGAAGCCAATCTTTAGGAGAAATCTGAATGAGAACAGCACAGTGGTCTGGATCAGGAAGGAACTACAGCACATACATACATGAAAATATATGAGGACAATACACAGAAGTTACTATAGAGTCAGGAGTGGAAAGCAAAGCAAATTTTAAAAATTATGAATTTAAGGAAAAAGTTAAATACAGAGGGCAAAACGGTGGTATGCAAAAGTGAGCTGTGATAAAATGTGCAGATGGCTATGTTTTACAGTGGAGCAGCAAAAGAATTATGAAGATCCAAGAATGATGAGGGGCAATGAGAGCAGCAGTGAAGACAAATAATTTCCTGCTTGAGCCAATAGCTGTTCACCCACACAAAATTTGTGTTTTCCCTCCTCTGGCACCCTGGTACAAAGCATGACTGAGCTTACTCACAGAATGACCCACTGCTTCCTGGAATTAAAGCCTCAGGGACGGGAACACAAACTTCCGAAGAAAGGGAAAACCTTGGTGCAGAAGTACAACAGGAGTTTTCTGTCCAGCTGGCACACTAGATAAACACACAAATCATTTAGAAAGAATCTCAGTTGGACATTCCTTAGAACACCCAGATTTCAGCTATAACAATATTGTAGCAAAACTTCACTAATAAAAGAGGGCTATAGTATCACTTGAGAAATGAAAAAATAATATTGACAGGCACAGAACAGACATTCAACTCCCACAGATGCCTGGCCCCACAAAGGCAAATTCTGTTTGCCTTCCCATCTCCCAGAAACTGGCACCTGGAAACATCTAAAAGAACCTGCCTGCTGCCACCATCTCAAACAGGGCCCAGCCTTTGCACTGGGAAAGATCCTGCTGCATGGAACTGCCCAGACCAGGGAGGAACCTTCTTCTGCACCACAGAATTTGCAAAGATTGTAACAGCCCTAAAGTGGAAACTTTAAAAGCCACTGAAGGAAATCAGATAAATATTTGCTATTACCCTGAGCTGGACCTGGTAATGACACCTTTTTAAGTTCTTTTTGCATGTTTTTGTTTTTTTTGCCAGATTGAATCATGGAATCACCTGTAACAATTCTAAAAAGTGTGGCTGTTTCTATTGTACAGTTTTTCCTCTATAGGGTATAAGGGAAAATTTTACTCTTTATTTTTAGCAAAAAGTCTGTTTTGTGAATAATGCCTCCAGGCTCCAAGAGTTTTGTTCTCTGTGTCATCAACCAAGTTTCCATATGCTGCTACAAGTTTCAGCAGCTATTTGAAGAGACTGTCCACTATTTCTTATGTATAACACACTTTGTGTGTGCCATCATGGGGGCAGCCCCTCGTCACCCAGCTCTGCCAGCAGGTACACAAAACTGACATCAAATTAACTTAACAGGAATTAAAACATCTTTTAGGACAGCTTTTCCCCAAGGAAAGCAGGGGAACTCAGCTGGACAGCAGAATTTAAAAGCCTTTTCCTCTGTCACCCAGCCTCCCAACAGCCTTTCCCAGCCTTGGAAGACATTCTGCTTCCTCTGGTGTCTCCAAGGCAAGGAGGGCTTTTCCCAGGTGCATTTCTGCCCTCTCAGAAGGAACAGCTTATAGCCAAGATGCAGAAATATAGTAAGGCATTCAAAAATGCCAAAGGAATAATTCAGTGGAAGTCCTCATTCGGAAGCGTTTCCCTGTGGCACACGCCTGCTCTGAGGATGGCAGAGATCCACCCACTTTTTGGTGTGAAACTGAGATCACAGATGGCAAAAAACACCAATAAAGTCCCCTCCAGCCAAATTTAATCCATGGAATAACTGTGGGTCTCAAATAATGGATTATGAACATACTTTGGTTTTAATCCTCAACCTCTTAAGCCAGGGCAGTAAACCCTGAACCTCAGTACTCCCTGCCCATGGCAGGCAGTTGGAACTACATGACCTTTAAGGTCCCTTCCAACACAAACCATGCTGTGACTCTCTGACAGTCTATTTACCTCCTGCAATTACTTTGCTGCCCTTAAGCCAATTTCCAGCAGAAAAATGCCAGCAGTCCCAAGCTACAGCCACAGTTCCAGCTGGACTGCAGCTTCCCAAGCTGAGGCAACTTTGGGGAACATGGGACATATCCTAAATTCCTCCTCTATCAAGGAGGTGGGTGGTCCTGCAGGTAGGGCTGATACAGGAATAAATTTTCCCACCATTTTCTTGATAATAAGGGGTTAGTGGTGGGTGTAATATGTGTATCTATATATGTGTGTGTGTGTGTGTGTATTTTTTATTCCAGGGCTGTTGTTTTCTCTTAAGAGGAACCGCACAAAGCTGTGTCATGTCCTAATTAATAATAGGGTAATTATTATCTACAGAGGCTAAGTGTAACTTTAAAAAATTACAGGCTGTGGCTATTTTTTAACTCTCAAGGTCACTAGGTGCTGTTGGAGTAGGAGCTCCCTGAGCAGTCCGAGCAGGGCAACTCCCACCTCACTTGAAGCCACACGGGTCCTGCCCAGCCTGGCGCTGTCCTGGGGTGGACAGAGGGATCCAGACAAGCTTGGGAAGAGGCTCGTGGGAATCTCATGGAATTTAACAAGGCCAAGTGCTGCTGCTGCACCTGGGTCGGGGCAACTCCCAGGATCAGTCTGGGGAGGGGGCAAGCAGATGGAGCAGCCCTGAGAGGATTTGGGGGTGCTGAGGGTGAGAGCTGGAGCTGCCCCAGCCCTGAACCCCCTGCCCTGGGCTGAGCCCCAGCGTGGGCAGCAGGGGAGGGGGATTCTGCCCCTGTGCCCCGTGCTCAGCTGAGACCCCACCTGCAGAGCTGCCCCAGCACAGGAGGAGCTGGAGCTGCTGGAGAGAGCCCAGGGGAGGCACAGCATGGTCAGAGGGATGGAGGAGAGGATGGGAGAGTTGGGATTGTTCACCTGGAGAGGAGGAACTTTAGGGTGACCTTACTGTGGCCTTGCAGTACCTGGAGGAGCTGTTGGGAATCCCGAGGATACACTATTTACAAGGGTCTGGAGTGACAGAACAAGCAGGAATGGCTTCAGAGTCAGTCAGAGCACGGTGACAGTAACATCAAGGTTGTGGCTTCAACTCCGGTATGGGCCGTTTACTTAAGAACTGGATTCAGTGATGCTTGGGGGTCTTTTCCAACTCGGAATACTCTGTGAACCTGTGAAACTTCAAACTGAAGGAGAATAAGTTTAGCCTGGCTATTGGGAAGAAGCTGTTCCCCGCGAGTGAGGCCCTGGCACAGAGTGCCAAAGAAGCCGTGGCTGCCTCAAGTATCCAAGGCCAAGGTGGTGGGAGCCGGAGCAGGCTGGGCGGGCCGCGCCCTCGGCTCCCCGGCCGGGGCCGCGCCCTCGGGTCCCCCCGGGTCCCCCCGGCTCCCCGGCCGGGGCCGCGCCCTCGGGTCCCCCCGGGTCCCCCCGGGTCCCCGGCCGGGGCCGCGCCCTCGGGTCCCCCCGGGTCCCCCCGGCTCCCCGGCCGGGGCCGCGCCCTCGGGTCCCCCCGGCTCCCCGGCCGGGGCCGCGCCCTCGGGTCCCCTCGGGTCCCCCCGGCTCCCCGGCCGGGGCCGCGCTCGCTGCGCCGGCGCCGCCGGGCGGGGCGGGCCGGGCCGGCCGCGGCTGCGCGGGGCGGGCGCGGCCATGGCGAAGCACACGGTGTCCTCGGCGCGGTTCCGCCGGGTGGACGTGGACG